TATACGGTTATTTATTAGGGGTGCAGTGTGAGACCTTTACACTGCCAAATGTGCTCCATGACAAATGTGAATTTGAATACTGTGATATCTTCTAACTCCGTGACAGCATTTAATATAGAATTTGAATTCAATCTGGACACCAAAGTGTTTTTTCTTTCTTTTTAAAAAATTTATAAGCACTAGTATCCCTACCTCACTGCAGGGGGAAAGAGCAAAGCAATTTAACCTGATTATTAAACACCCCCCCCTCCCCTTCTAAATCTGATGTCGCTTTCAATCATCCTGCTTGACCTTTTCCCAACTTGTATTTGATGCACTTTCACCCTCTTATTTGACACAAGTAAAGGGGTTTACCTTTGACAGATGTACGCATATTGTATTTACTTCAGAGGACCTAGAAAAACGTTTTTCTTTTTTTTTTTTCTGAGATTCTGTGGTTGTTGTTGAAGTACCAAATGTATTTGCACAGAGAAATGTTCTTTATGTGCTGTTTTACATACATAAACACATTTCAGTAATAAAGGAAACATGAGCATCTGCTCCATTTTTCATTTTCCTCACTAGGCTGAAGACAATGGTCTCTTCTTCTCGCTTACATAATGAGTGGTCATACACTGAATGCAGTATGATCCAACTTGACACATTTAGCTCCCTGCTGTGCGTCAAACATGCCCCCTGCTGGACAAAGGATGCTACACGCAATAAAGAAAAAAAAAGAGTACAAATTTCATCCCTTAGTGTCAACATGGTTGCACTTCTCATGTAGGTCTAGTTATGCAAACGTTCAGCGGCTAAACGCTGATTAAAAGTAAATACATTTTTGAAGTATGAGTTGGATGCTGATGTGCGCGTTAATATCACAGCCTGAGATTTGTCATGCGTGTTTACCCACTCATACAAGGCTTCCTTTTAGTTCACATAAATTAAGCCATTGAGCATCACGATTTTTTCCCTTATAACATAAACCCAGCAGAACAGATTAAAAATAAAAACAACAGTGTTGACTGTTCACCGTCTAATTGCTGGTTAGATTCAGCTCGTGCATTCTTCCGATCACGTGTTGACCAGAAGTTCCACACCCCATAAATTGATGTTCTTACACAGCGGATTTCTTCGAGGAATACGCACCTCTTTTGCTATCATTAGAGCAGCATGCAAACGAGCGGGGGTTCACAGGTTTGAGTGTGCACCGGCCCCCTATAAGTGCAGTTACAAAGATTTCTGGTAAATAGTTTGAGGCACATTTACAAACATTTACAAACGACATGTTCTTTTAGCAATGCTAACCTTACGAAATTTAATGCTTGCATGTATGTCGCTTTCTTTTTATTTATCTTTAGTTTCCACCCATTGCCTATACATATATAATGCAGCGCATGCCCAGCTTACTAGTTTTATTAGCTTAAAATACAGACCAGCTTACATGTTCTTTGTTTCCATTAGTCATTGTAGACTA